ATGAAAATTACAGGCCTCTCTCATCTTTTTAAGTGGGAGAACTGGCACAATTGGTGGCTGACTAAATACTTTTTTGCCCCACTGTATCTGTTGGCGTCTTCTGATCCATGCATCTTTGTTCCAAGCCATCTGGGACTGTAAAAGGGCCCCACTGGCCTGGATTCACCCAGCATGCTTTATTGGGCCAGTAAACAACTTGCCTTCACAAGCAACCTTGGTTGGGGCTGTCCGCATGAGTACGTGCGTGGTGTGTCTGTCCATCTGTCTTTCTGAGCCTGTCATGCAAGCCGAGCCCATTTGGTGAGTTCATGATTCACTGTATTGCGCGAAGGGTTCATTCAGTAAACCCACTCAGTGTGTTGTTTGAATGCCTCTCTGCTTATACAGAACTGCCTCTGTTGCAACCCTCTCTTGCCTGAGAGTTGGTTTCCAGCTAGTGGAAGGCCCCAATCCATTGTGGGGATCAACTGCACATCAGGTGCCTGTCCTGACTTACGTTATTTCTTTACTTAAAAAGACTTAAATAGCCACCCCTATTGTAACCACAATCCTGGATGGTCCATGTTTGTACCTGATGTACCTTTCTCTCTTTTACGCCAGTCTTTGACCATAATAAAGATTTGATTGACTGACTGATTGATTGATTGATTTCTCTCTTTGCATAGGACAAGGTTGATCTTCTGTCAATGAAAGAGATGCTGGAGGCAATCCGGTAAGATATTCAGACTCCGTGCAGAGGGAGTTGCTGTTCTTGTGAACTGCTTTTCAGGGCTTGGTGGGGGGTGGGGATGTTGAAAAGTAGACAAGGGATGGGGAGTGGGGATAAAATATAAGAGCCTAAGCATTTTAAGGAACTGACTGTTTTTATCCTGATTTTGTAGGAAGGGAATTGAGGGGTTTTGTTGTTACATCAATGTTTTTCTTGTACTCCCATTCTGGGAGAAGACAGTATAGAAAGGTAAAGCAGTAATCCACTAATTAAACAATCCAGGATTGTGGACAGACTGACAGGCAGGTCCCAAGCCACTTAGATAATTGTGTTGGACTGGAAAGAAGAAAGAAATTATGTTGCCTCTCAGTTTTGGCATTGTGATCCCAGAAGGGCCTGCTTTAACATTATGTTAATTTTTAAGTGTTGTCTTCCGCCCGGTCCTTTTTGCCCAGAGACCAATATTCTCTTCTGACTGATTGGAGAAAACCAGGACTGGCTTGTTCAGGTTCAGCGTGGTCCTCAGTTTGAATTCAGGCTCTTAATCCTCTCGGTTCCTTGCTGTGCATATAGGTGAGATCCTTTTAACTTGTCTTCTCTTCTTCCCTGCCAGAGAAAATGCAGAAATGCCTTTATCAGTGCAGTCTTTGAGGTGAGTGGTTCACGCACGGGCATTGGCTTGTGTGGGATGTAGCACTGGTTGTGAGAAATAACTGCATCTTCTCGTTCTTAAAGGTGCCTGATGGCAATCCTCTTTTTTTGTTGTTCTTGAGCTGGGACTCTGAATTCCTCTCACTGGCTTCCCTCTGCTCTGTAGGTTCCTGACCCTTGACCCCCCTGAGATGGACTCCTTTGTGAACCAGCATAAGTCACAGCCCATCAAACGTCAGGTCTGTACTCGTGTATCCAACAGAACTGTGGATGAGGGAGACCCCATTTTATTCCTTAGAACCCCTCAAAGGAAGGATGCCAGTGAAGTGTAGAGGTGAAAGTACTGATCGAGGAACAGTTAGTCCCAGGTTCTGGTCCCCACTCAGCCATGGAAGCTCCTTGGATGATTTTGGGCCCATCAGACAACCCAGCCTACCTCACAGGATTGTTGTTGCTGCAAAACTTTGAGGAAGGGATAATATATAAGTCTCTGCAAATATAGATATATGTATAGGCAGAAAGGCTAATGACCTTGGATAGCCAATGCAGTGTACTGGTGGAAGTGTTGGGCTGGGAGCAGGGAGACCCAGGTTCAAGTTGCCCCTGGGCCACAGCAACTCCTTGGAAGGCTTTGGACCACTCCTTCTCTCTCAGCCCAACCTACCTCACAGGGTTGTTTGCAGCAACAACAGGAGGAGGGAGCCCTACATACACCACCTTGAATTCCTGAAGGAAAGGTGGCTAATAAATCAAATGGATAAAAGGGAGCCAAAACCAGAAATAGAACTTGTGCTAAGCAAGGGTTTATTTTTACCACGATCTGTTGAACGAGCCCCATGTCCTGATCCCCACAGAGCCCAAGCAAACAGCTAAAGGGGGAACATGGCCACTCCTAGATCTTGCCTCAAGCCAAGTATGACAGACTTACTCCATTCCGTATCTGAGTAACTCCATTGGCTGGTTAATGGAGCGCATTTCTTCTTTGTTCTTCGGGCTGCTAAGAGACATTGCTGGCCCCGTGGGTGTCTTTCAGACAGTGATGACCTGCATGGCCACTCTGAAGAAGAACAGGGTGGATGAAGATGCTATTAGCTGCTTGGTGATCGGGACAGAGAACATGGAAATCCTCATCTTGGACCCTGAGGCCTTCACCATCTTGTCAAAGGTGAGGCTCTAAACCTCACATTTGTGTAATGTGTACCCCATTTGGAAGAGGGTACCCTTCCCCAATCCCCCTAATATATTTAAAAAATAATATCCCAAGCCTCAGAGAATGTATCTGTCCAGCATTCTGAAGATTCCAGCTTTAAGGCTTATGGATCGCATCAGGTCTTCTGGGGCAGCTAAGCCTTCCTTCCCAAATCCACATTCTTCCCCCTAATCCGTTTCACACAACCCTCCTAACCTGGTTATACAATTAACCCACTTCTGGGTCCCAACTATCTCTCGAATCTGATAGTAACCAAACAGGCCAGGACCCAAAAAACAGCCCTGAGTTAACGCTAATCAAGCTTAACAGGCTGTGTAAAAACAACCACTCCTGTTTAACTGAACTGGTTTAGATGCTCTTTTTCCATGGCAGGTGACCATACCAAGTGTGCCCACCTTCCTGGATGTTGCAGGCCAATTTGACGTGGAATACCGTCTCACCGTGGCCTGTCGGAATGGAAGCATTTATATCCTCCGCAGGTACGTTATCGCTCCGGTGGCAAAGGGGCTGCAGGAGAGCAGACGGTGGATGAAACATTCAGTCTCAAGCCACGGACCATCGGTCGTTTCCCAGAGCACCCCACAATAAAGACAATCTTTTAGAACGGTGGTCATAATCGTGCAAGCTTGCCATGTGGTGAGAGACTGTGGGTAGGTCGGGAAAGGAATGGAAAATAAAGGAGACAGTAAAGAGATAGAAGGCGAGTCTGTGGGCAGCTGCTTATTATTATTATTAACATATTACACATTTTATCCCATCTTTTTTGTATCTAACTCAAGGCAGGGGATATACCTAATCCTCCTGCCTCCTATTTTCCCCACCACAACAACCCTGCGAGATGGGTTGGGCTGAGAGAGAGGGACTGGGCCAAAGTCACCCAGCCAGCTTTCCTGCCTCAGGCAGGCCTAGAACTCATTGTCTCCTGCTCAGCCCTTTAATCACAAACCCACACTGGCGCGCTTTATAAAAGGCAACTCAGCCCAGGTGGCCAGAAAACCAGGAAGAAGCGTTTCAACTGATTCCAAGAGGCTCCCCCCTCTTAATGAATTCACTGTCAATGAGGATGAGAAACTCCTTCAGTGGTTTCCAAGGTTCTGTGTTTACCCCAGATTTAGCTTTCACAATACCCTGAATTCTGGGCTTGATACATCCCTCACAAAACTACAGCGATATCCCTGCCAGGCAGGAACGCCGGATTCTAGATTGCTCTCACCTGAATGCTGAGCTCTTGTGCTGCTCCCTGTGTTTTTTTCCCCCTAGTTCTATGTTTAATTTTATTGGGGAAGGTTTCACAGATGCCATGTAGGGGTGCCAAGAATTTAATTTTAATCACCTCAAATTCTGAACTGTGGTTTAGCAGGTAAAAGTTCAACCAGGGCCAAAACCAGCGGCCACGGGCAACGACCTGAAGGTGCTGGAGGGAAGCGCCAGCAAGAAGGGTGCTCCCCAAATCCCACTTGCAGTTTTCAGCAGCTCAGGGGATCTCTCTGCCTTGCTTGTCCCTGAGTTGGATGGATGCTGGTGAGGGCACAGGCAGTGTTGGAGCCAAGAATCTGGCTTCAATGGACCTTTTTGTCTAATACGCCCTCAGTTTTTCTCAGTTGGCTGGGAATTATGGGAGTAGTAGTCCAGCACACTGGGCAGGCACCAGGTGCAGGGAAAGAATCTTCCAGGTTCTGTCTGTATGCTCTCCTTGCCCCACTGAAGTCAGAGTCCATTTCAAAGAGCACTGAAATTAGTTATAGTAATGTTTCTCTTATGGCTGGCTGGGGAATTCTGGGAGTTGAAGTCCACCCATCTTAAACTCGCCAAGGTTGAGAAATACTCCACGTCGATTGGCAAGAGGCGCTTGGATAAATTTTTGCATTTTTTGCCTAGTTTGAGCTAAGTCCTGTGCTGCATCCATGGCTTCTAGCTGAAATGGTTCCTCTTTTATTTTTTCACCCAGAGACTCCAAGCGGCCCAAATACTGCATCGAGCTAAGTGCCCAGGCTGTGGGTTTGGTTCGAATCCAGAAGAACATCATAGTGGCTTGCTCAGATGAGACTCTGCGGGGCTACACCCAGAAGGTTAGGAGTAGGAAGTTGTGCCCGCGGGCAAGTTATTGGTGCAAGGGTATGTGCGCACACAGAGCCTAGATCTCTTCATCCAGGCTGCCAAGCGAAAGCAAGCAAAATCTTCCAGCAGAACCTAGCTGGGGTCCCCTCTTGGCTCTGAAATTCGGGAAGTAATAGAAATCACTACAGTTGTTTGATCAGTGTTTCTCAACCTCGGCAACTTGAAGATGTGTGGACTTCAACTCCCAGAATTGGAAGTAATAGAAATCACTACAGTTGTTTGATCAGTGTTTCTCAACCTCGGCAACTTGAAGATGTGTGGACTTCAACTCCCAGAATTCCCCAGCCACCAAAGGAATTCTGGGAGTTGAAGTCCACACACCTTCAAGTCGCCGAGGTTGAGAAACACTGGGTTAGATGTGCGAGAAATAAGTATTTGGAATCATCTGCAGGTCTTTAATGGGTCTGCAGGGGGCGCTGTTGCTCTGTCAGTTTCTGCTTTAAGGAAAACCTGGCATAAGGGTGAAAATATATTTTTTTAAAATTTTAAATTCTTATTCATGCTGATGCAAGAGAAATTGAAATAGCTTTTGAAGGAGGAGAGAATTTTGCTGAAATTCTCTCGGGGCAGAGAGGGAGTGGTCTTGTACATTATTTCTTATTTAATGTTTTTGTTAAAACATATTTTTGTTGAACATCCAAGGAGAGAGAGATGCACACACACAAACATGCACCCACTCACGCACTCATAGAAAGAAAAAATTAAAGGTATAATGTTTCCATATTCATAGGCAATTAAAGATACCTGAATAACTTCGATCCCAAAAATCACTACTAAATTCTGTGCAGAATACAAAGATCAAGAATAACAAGTAATACAGTACAGATTGTACAATAAAATTAATCATACACAAAAAAGAAAACAATATATAAAAATATAAAAAGAGTAAAAATCACTAAAACGTTATTTTAAAAAACTCACTTATTTGCAGATTGTACTCTTCCTCCTATTAATTGGCTGTTAATTGGAAGCAATATATTGGGAAATGTTTGGATTTCTACTTGAATCCTTTCGCCTATTTTGATTTTTTTCTTTTCCCTTAAAAACTATGCTCTAAATGTCTATGTATACCTTGTGTAATATATATAGGGGAGGCATTCTTGCTTGAATTTAGTTAAACTTGCATTATAGTTATACCCTGTTAGCTTTGCCAATGCTGTGCATTCTCCGAATTTGGTTTCCCGATCTGATGTCGTCGGCAAAAGGTCTCTTTTCCAGCATTCTGCCAGATTCATCCTTGCAGCCACATTATTTCTTATTTAGTTATGAAATGACCAAGGGTGTTGTTCCTTCCCCAGCTTTATCTCCTGCCTTTCCTCCAGAAGCTCAAGACAGGGTTACATAGCATTCCTTCCCATTTTTTCCCCCACGACAACAATCTGGTGAGGTAGGATGGGCTGAGAAGTAATGAGGGGCTCCAAGGGAGCTTCCATGGCTGTGGATGGACTCGAACCTGGATCTCCCTGATTTTAGTGTTATGCCTTGGCTGTCCCGTCTTTCACTTTACATTTTTTTCTCTGCAACCTCCCTGGCTTCCCTCCTTTCAGTCAATCCCAGGGGAAGACACCAGGCAAACGTTCTCCCCTGGCCTGTTGAAGATCAGGACAGATGAACAGCCAGGAAGCCTACAGAGTGGTGGAAAGATGCATTACACTAAACAACCCCCCGCCCCAGCAGTTGCCCCTTCCAGCAGCTGACAAACTCCACCTAGAGCAGTGTTTCCCAACCTTGGCCATTTCTAGATGTGTAAACTTCAAATCCCAGAATTCCAGAGCCAGGCTAGCCGTTGCTGAGAATTCTTGGAGTGGAAGTCCACACAACTGGAAGTTGGCAAGGCCGGGAAACACTGACTGAGAGAAATGTAAAAGAAATCCTCAAGCTTCTGGAGAACAGAGCAGAAAAATGAAGGCCTCTTTCACAGGTAGGAGAGGCACCGCTGAGAAACTGCAAGGAAATTTCAGCCCAGCATTAAGCGAACCCTGTGCGGAAAGGGCAGGGTGGATCTGAACCCTCCAAGAAGTTGAGGAGCAGATTGGAGGAACTGAATTAATCTCTTTCTGACACCTGTCTTCTTGTGGCAGGGAAAGAAACTCTGGGGAGTTACATTGCCAGCTACCCCCATCACGCTGGGCATCATGGATGAGAAATTCCAAAGTTTCCAGGCTGTGCTGGTGGCTCTGGCCAATTTGGAAGTTCACATCTACCGGGACAAGAATCTTGTTAATGTTATCCAGGTGCCGGTAAGCTTCCAGAGCTTTGGGAATGTTCTTGGAAATCATGTCAAGCCTAAAGCTGACTTTGCAGCAGCCTAGATTTCCACCTCTTTGCTCAATTCAGGAATTAAAATTACAGTAAAGTCCTTTCCTCTTTCCCACGCGTATGGCCTCCAGCTTCTGCTTGAATGTATCCAGCAAAGGAGAGCCCACCAACGCTCAGGGTTTCTGATTTCACTATCTCCTTGTCACTGTTAAGAAGAAGAAGCTTTTCTTAGCTTTCATCCAGAATCAGGCCATCCTGTCCCTTAAGCCTATTCCGTCTACTTTCTCCCTCAGTACAATGACCTGATTCATGCAGGGATGTTCGAGAAGAGGATGCAACCTTCTGTGGGAAGAAGGCAGGAGGGGCCCTCCAGCGGAAAACAGATCAGGAGGAAGGGGGGCAGGATTGGAAAGCAAGGGCGGGTGAACTGATGGGGTTTGGGCTGGAAAAGAAGCGAAGAAGAATGGGCAGAGGGATTCTCAGGGGAATGAAGGATGGACCGAGTAGTTCTGGATTAAAAGACAGGGAGATGGATGGCTTCCAAAGCAGAAGACAAATTTTCCCTTTCTTCCTCTGATTCTTGCTAGGATATCGTCACCAGCATCTCTTTTGGCCACTACGGACGAGAGGATAATACCCTCATCATGACAACCAAAGGTGGGAACATAAATGTGTTGAGCTCATTCCCCCAGCCCCAGGCAGCCCAGTGTCTCTAGAACGGGGACTGGCAATACCACACCCCTAATAGCCAGCTAAGCCCCCATTCGGCACCCCCTGGCCTCCTGCTGCCCTCCTCTTCTTTGCCCCCTGGATCCAGATCTACTTAACCTCACCATTTTGCTTTTCTTTCGGGGAAGGGGGCCCTCGCATGTCGGGCTGCTGATGACAGCAGCAACAATACAGGGATCTCATTCCTGGGCTTGTGATGGTGGAAGGGAGGGAAGTATGTGTGAGGAACTTTTGGGTGCCCAAGGAGACTTTGTTGGGGTGTGCGTTTGCCCACGCTCAAATGTGCCCCTGAAGACTTGGCATCTTATATATTCTTAGGCCTTCTAAGATGGCCCACCTTCTTCTGAAACCAACGTGGGATGCAACAGTTTGCAGGTCTGCTGCTTCTGGTCCCCAAGGCTTCCTTTGGGATTAAAAAAAAAAAAACAGATCTGCAATTTGAAGGCTAGCGAGAACTTGGTTAAATATCTCCCCCAGTCCTGGCTTACAGGAGTGTTTAAACCCACAGAAACTGGAGGTGTAAGTCGGCACTTTCTTTTCCATCTTTGATTTCAAACAAGAGGAAAAGAAGGCAGGGAGACAAGTTGCCAGTCCTTGTTGAGGAATTGCAAAGTGATGGCTGTGTTCCTACAACTTTGCTGAATTCAACTTGAATTCACTCTTTTTTCTGGGTTGGCATCACTGAATCTAACCAAACTGTTAAGGCTTATGCAAGATGCTAAGCCACCCATAAGCCTAACCAGGTTGAAAATTAGTTTAGTATGTTGGGCAAATGCAGCCTCTAGGTTGTTCCTTGGCCTGGTTAAGCATGCTGCGCAAGCCTTTTCATCACTGATGTGAGTACGACAGCCAGCCTTTCCTTAATCTCTGTGCTGCCGTGCATCCGTCCATCCGTCTTCCCACCTTTGTGTCTTCTCCAGGTGGGGGCCTGATCATCAAGATCTTGAAACGCACCAGCACCTTCCATAAGGGGGACACAGCTGTTGGCGTTCCTGTCGCCCAGAGCATCAAACTCAGCGTGCCCAAGAAAACAAAACTCTATGTGGACCAGACCCTGCGGGAGCGGGAAAGCGGAGTGGGTAAGTAGGACAGGCCAGAAACATCTCTCAACCCTACTCTCCACCTTCAGATACTTTCTGGACATTGATAGGAGAGCCAGCCTGGTGTAGTGGTGAAGGTGCTGGACTAAAAACCAGGAGACCGTGAGTTCTAGTCCTTCCTTAGGCATGGAAGCCTGGTGGGTGGCTTTGGACCCATTGTTTTCTCTCTCTCAGCCCACCCCACCTCACAGGGTTATTGTTGTGGGGAAAATAGGAGGCGGGAGCATTATGTACACCACCTTGAGTTGTATAAATAAAGATGGGATAAAAAATCAATAAATAAATACCCAGCACCTCCTAGCCAGCCTGCTCATTTATTCCATCCCCATCTAGAGCATGTAGATCAGTGTTTCTCAACCTTGGCAACTTGAAGATGTGTGAACTTCAAC